AAATGCTCTTCTTCTGGACCTTGCCAGCCAAAATTCCTTGACTAATGGGGCCTGCAGCATGCCCCTTTTGCCAGCATGGGTGGGATTAGACAGTTCTTCAGATAGCCTAGATCCATTACATAATTGAATTACATAATGAATTCAGTTATTTGTAGCTCTAAATATATTTGAATGTTATCCATAAATGCCTGATATAATTTAAGGTATTAGTAGTAGTATTTTTATGTGGCACGTACTTTTAAGCATGGTAACCTGCTTTTTCTCCACCATAACTCCTCTGGCAATGATGTGAAAATGATAGAATGTACATTATAATACGACCTGCACCTTTTATATATACAATCTGACATGATGCAATTCTGTAAGTCACGTAGTTTGTATTGGAACATGGTTAATCTCCCCCCTCCATTTCTCCAGAGGTGCCTTGGTGATATGTGTTTATCGTGAATTTAAAACCTCATTTTCTTCATGCAAAATCAATGGATCCTCTAATGTTATAATAATTCCAAGAAAATATTTTTAAAGATCAGTGATAACAGGACAAACCTCCAGGGTATACATTTTGGACTAAGGTTTGAACTGTACCTGGACTTAAAGAGTTTATTCTTGTTCTCCATCATCATGCTGAGAAAAGGCATTCAAGTAAGACAACACCGCTTTTCTTAGATGCATTTACATTATTAAAACGGATTATGTTTTTTTTTCTATCCCTAATGAGCAAGCAGACTTCCATCCTCCCATCAGAACTACTACTAACTACTATGTCCATGAACCTTCTTATAGAGATTCTTTCAGAGCATATATGAACAGGGAGAGGACAGTAGAGAGGGGAAGGAATCCATTCTGCTATCAGATGTTCTTTCAGAGATACATTGACATTATTAGATGCAATCCATAAGTGTAATGGATTGGATCTAAACTTAGCCATACTTATTAAAATCAATGAGTTACATGAGTCATGACTAAGGTTCCATTACTTCCAATAGGTCTGCCCTGAGTGTGATTAGTCCAGATCCAAACTGATGTATTTTTGATGTTGGTTGATTTTGAAAAATATTAAGAGACAAGAAATCCTATTTGGGTTGAGAGTAGTCTGTTGTTCTTTATACCAGATAAGGAGATTGGTCTGTGCTGCCAAATAAATAATAGCTTGGCTCCAAACATTATGAATGAGAAGGGAAAGTGTTCTGGGAAACTCAGGCAAAACAGCAGAGGTTTTCTTAAGACAATAAGTAGTATAATAAGAAACATGGTACATAAGCCAGAGACGTATATATATGTCCAGAACATTTCAAGATTTGAAGTCGATTTTCTCATGCATTTCAGTTTTGTACTGCTGGAGATTCTTTTGGTGGCACCTTAATGGGTGTACCAAATAGAGCACTTTGAGGACTATACTTCTCAAATGGGTGGAGCCAGGACTCTATTTTAAGAACATTCGGGAGCTTCTAAAGAATCAATTATATGCCTTCAACATTTAATCTTCCCCAAACTACCCCAATAAATAACTATGTACAAAAAATAAAAGGCTGGGGAAAAAATGGCCCCATCTACCCTGGAGGCCATAAAAGATATGCCAGCAAAACTCACTTTTGGCATTCCTGGTACATAGAATGTTTGGATCCAAGTCTATTTTTCGTTTTATTTATTTGGGAATAATCCAAATACTGAAGATAAGAAAATATATACAGTAGTTAAGTACATAAACATACAGTTGTGATATTAATTGGATCTGAAATAATATATTGTTGCCATGCTTCTCTAGAGAATTATGGAATATAGTTGTTGCTAACATGGATGGTTCAGAGTTCAAAGTTAAGAAACAGCAGTCACAGTACCAGGACTGAACTTCAGCTCTTTGAACATTCATGTGACATTGCACATAGAAGCATAATGGGGCTTTGATCATGATGCCATGATTGCCACCTATGTTGTTTTGACACCCCACCACCACCACCACTGGTAGTTCCCAAATCCTGCCACCAAAATTGGTAAATCAGTGACCTGTTATAAAACGTTATTTTGTAACAGAACATTGTAACAGAACAGAAATTTCCTCAGAGTACCCATTTTAATTAATTATCATCCAAAATGCATGCATAGACAATTTAGATTTTCTCTAAATCTTCCAATGAAATCTTTTTTGAGAAATCCTGGAGTGCTGGAGATGTGCCAGAAGATGGAGAAAAGCCTGTGATATTCCAATATTTAAAAAGGGGAAAATGTAGACCAATAAACTTGAATTCAATAGAAAATGCTAGAAAACATAAGCAGTTGGCATGTGAGCATTTAATAATAAAAAGGTTTATTGCCAGAAGCTAGCATGTATTTATTAAAAAGAAGTCATGCCAGACAAATCTAATACACTTCTTAGACAATGTGACTAGATCAGTGGACCAAAATAATTCTACAGATATACAGTAATGTGCTCAGATATTATTAAGGCATTTGATAAAATAGATATTATCCATCTTGATAAACTAGAATAATGTGGGATGGATGGTACTGTTACCAGGTGGGTCTATGTCCAGATGAAGGGAGGCACGTGACACCTCAGAATTCTGCACTGGGCCCAGTATTCTTCAACACTTTCATAAATGACTTAGATGAGAGAATAGAAAGGATGCTCATAAAATTTGCAGATGACAGAAAGCTGAGGCGGGCAAATGGGGATTGTTAGTGTCCCAGAAGAAGGCTCAAGGTTCAGAAGGATTTCAATAATCTTAAACATTGGCCCTATCCAACAAAATGTTGTTCAAGGTCATGCATTTAAACAGGAAAAACAAGATGCACAGGTGCAAAGTGCTGTAGGTGGCACCTACCTTATCAGTAAAAAGGATCTGGGAGCCTTGTTGAGCCACAGATTAAATATGAGCCAGTAATGAGCCATTGCTGCCAGAGAACCAATGCAAAGTGTAGTGTAAAGGTTACTTTTTTTGCTATTCTCAGACTCATTCAGAGTACTGTGTCCAGTTCTGACTATCACAATACAGAAAGCACACCGAGGAAAAGAAAATACTGCCGAGAAGAGTGATAAGGAGGGTAAGGAGTTGGAACTAAATCCTATGAAGAGCTATCAAAGAAATTTGTTATGTTCAATCTAACGAAGAGAAGGCTAATAGGAGACAATATAACTGTCTTCCAATATATGAAAGAATAAATATGAAAGAACCAGTGGGTGGAAGCTTAAGAGAGTGATCCAAATTTGAAATGAGGAATTTCATCATTGTGAACATTATTAAATAGTCTGAAGCTAGGAGGAAGTTTTCAAGAATAATTGAGCAGCCATTTGTCTGGGATGTTATGGGCCTTCCTGCAATGGACAGAAGATTGGATTAAATTATCTCCATAATCCTTTCCAAAACTACGATTCTATGATGATCATATAACTACCAAGCTTCTTATTCTCCTTTGAGACTAAAAGTGCTTTTACAGTAAGGTTGTTTACAAGTTGTCCTTGACTTACACCTATAATAGAGCCTGTTCATTAAGGTTGTAAATTGTGACAGTCATAAAATGGATCATCCACATGACCAACCCAGTTTTACAACCATTTTGCAGTGGTCATAACGTGACTGCTACAGTTGTAAGTGAATCTATCGTTTAGTATAGGCTGGCTATACTAAGTAAATATTCGGTTTTGGCAAAAATATCATAAGTAAATGGAAGTAAATATTCGGTTTTGGCAAAAATATCATAAAATGTGTTCACGTAACACTGCAAATAGCCGTAAATGCAGGCTGGTTACAAAGTGCCTGTAATATCATGTGACTGCAGGGGGCTGTCAAAGCTCCAGAACTGGGTCATAAGTACCCCTGGGAAATTTCATCATAACTTTGAATGATTGCTAAGAAATTGGTCGTAAGTCGAGGACTATCTGTATTCTGTTTTGAAGAATCAACATAAGCTCATCTGATAAATTGAGTACAAGGGGCATTTGGATAGAATGTTAATTCTTGATAATTTACTAATTTGAGGGCTAACTAAAATATTATTGTCTTGTAGGCAATAATCAATTGCAACACTTGTTGGATGATCCAGCCCAGGTTCTTTATTAGTCAGCAAGTGGGTCTCCTTTGTGCAGGTAACTACACAAACTAACAAAGAAATGTTGGGCCTGTTCAGACCATTTTTTTAAAAAAATATGGCTCCAAGTGTATGCTGCAATGATTTCTGGGAACAGTTTAGAAGCAAATATTGTTCATGTATACAAATACATAAACACCCAAATAATTTGTTCATGTAATGAGTGCTCTTCTCTGTGCAGCTCATCTTTTCATCTGACAAAGATCCTCCCAGCTCTTTCAGATGCTTTCATCTCCATTTGCATCTCCTTTTTCTTTCTTGAGCAAATTTACTGTGAGAAGGAGCAGGAAATACTGGCTTTGGTGTTTAATTGATTTGCTTTTTCTTATGGTTTTTAAAACATTGTTTGACTCTTCTTGCTTCTACAATTCAGTTGCCAACTTGCCTCTGCATCTGAGGCCTTGGGATGGCTCATCTACCTGTGCTTTCCCTGCCTTTCCTGAAAAGAAGGGTCCTGGCTCAGTCTAAGTTACTACCAAGAGCAGGGGTCTTCAAACTTGGCCCTTTTATGACTTGTGGCTGCAACTCCCAGAATTCCTGAGCCAGCTGTGTTGGGAGCTGAAGCCACAAGTCATAAAAGGGCCAAGTTTGAAGACCCCTGACCAAGAGAAAGCACTTGGGGGACTCTCCTTGGGCTAAGCAGAGACAAGCTTGGGTAATACAGTACCTGGATGGAATTCTTCTGGAAAAAGCCCAGGACCTTAGCCTGGGCTGGAAAGTCGGAAAACATCCTGGAAGAAAGCTAGAAGAAAGTTAAGGCCAACTAAGTCAGAACTGTGGGCAAGAACTTGGAATTCAACTCTAGTCTAGGGAGCTTTATCACTAGCTCCCCCTGACAGCGATTTCCTCTTGCTTATTCCCCCTCTCGACAATATGGCAGGAGGCTGCTAGGAGCCGCTCACCAGGTCCGACCCTGCTGTCCAGAGCGACCGAGAAGCAGCAGCCACATCCCCGGGTCTGTCTCTCCCAGTAAGGCGCAGGAGAAGGGCGCTCGGTTTTCGGGCCGTGCCCTTCCCGAAGAAAGAAGGGGAGACAACGTGGCAGCTTCGGCCTCTGCTCCCTTGCACACCTGCACGGCGTCCCTGGTAGGCCGTTGGGCCAGTCCTTCTTCCACGCCTCTACCGCCGTTTTTTTTCTTTTGGCGGCCCTACGGAGATGGGAGATGATGCCGATGGAGAACGTGGACGGTTCAGGGATTGACAGGGAACTTCGCTAAAGGAACAGCAGCCCTTGACCTGCGGCTAGTTCCCGCCTGAATATATCCAGTCTTTGGTCCCAGCCCGAACCTCGAGTGAGTCCCTCAGCACCGAGACAGAACTGGCTCCGACGGGAGGTGAAGTCCCGCCGCCTCCAACTCCGGCGCAGGAGAACTCCCAGACTTTTTCGTCCTTATCTCGCTATTGGTCAGGATAAGCCAGACAGCCCGTCCGGGCCGCCCACTCGAGCGAGGCGGGGCCACGCTAAATTTCATTGAGGTGGAGGAAAGTAGCAGCGGCGTTGGGCGGGAGCTTCGCAGCGAGGAAGGCGAGCTGGCGCGCCGCTCTTCTGGCCCCGGTGGCGCAGGGTGCGCTCGCCGCTCGGCAGCTCCGGACGCTTCCCGCGATGCCTCCTCCCTAGTCCTTGGGAAGACTGGGTGACTTCTCGCCTGGAGCGCGCGGCTGCGTCCCGAGTTCTGTTCCCCGACTAGGCGGCTCTTGTTACGGCCGGGAATCTCGGTCGTTAACTCTCGGGATCCGTCCAGGGTCGACGCGGCCGGCTACCATGCGCCCATTCAGACGGCTTGAATAGCATAAAGGCAGCCCTCGGCACCCCGCCCCCGCTCCCATGCCGGGCAGGGCAAAATGGTTGTCAAGTGAAGAAATTTTTTTCCTTAAAAAAGAAAAAGAAAAACTCTCTTTGCGGCAGAAACGAAGCGCCTTGATTGAAACTTCGATTGGTCTTGACGTCGGCGGTTGTTGGAGGTTTTGACTCACCCTATTGAGGGATTTTTAAGCTGAAGCCCGAGGGACGGGCTTCTTTGCTCTAGCCCTGAAGGAGAGCGGACCTAAGAAAGTTGCCGGTGCCTGCAGTATATAGACAGTGCAAGCGGACGGCTGTCCTTTGTTTCTCTAAGGCTCCTCTTGGTCCGATCTCCTAGCGATGGCCACAGAAGTGGTGTGTGGACTAATCTTCAGATTGCTCCTTCCCATCTGTCTAGTCACTGGTAGGTGAAGCTTGACTTGCGTAGTATGAATAGTGTCAATGGACTTGTTCTTTCTAGAAACAGGTCTTGCGTTTCCTTGCTATAACTATGACACGTTGTGTAATTTGGAACTGGTTTTCTGTAAAATTAGGGCACCTTTTGCTTTCTACTGAAGAATGGGATATTCTGTATTTCCCCCCCCCCTCCCCAAGAGATTGTGGGTATATATACTGAGGGAATAGCTTCATATGTAGCCTTAATTCTTATTTTAGAAAGTTTTATTACTTTATAATGTACAATACAATGGAAATACAAAAGCAAATAGTGGAAAAGATGGGGAAGGGAAAATGGAGTAGAGAAATGAGGTAAGGGAGAAAAAAAGCATTTCCAACTTCCTTTGGTGCAATAAGAGTATCAACTTCATATAAATCTTAATTCTTATATGAATTATGACTTTCCAAATGGTCTTGACTTTTCTGATGTACATGGAATTAAATGGAAATTTAATTCACATTCAGAATTCATATCAGTTTACTTTAATGTTCCTCTGCTGAGAAGTAAAATATTAAGTTAAATAGTATACAGGCTCTCAGGTAAGTAGGTAAAGATTATAGTCTTAAGATTGCCGTTATTGGCACTGTATCTATGAGCAAAGACATTGACAATACAGTCACGTATATATTTATTCAGAGGTAAGTCCATTATAAGTGTATATAATGAGTGTATTAGCCCAGATGAGTAGATAGGAGATTTTAACCTAAAGCTTCATAAAGATTTCACATTATTTGTTGACTTCTGTTGCAGTGTAAGTGTATCTAGGCAGTTTCTAATGAAGCAGGCATGGAAGAAGCCTGCAAATACATTTGTAGGATAATATCTCCCATTGATTCAAACAGAACACAATCATTTAATGATTGCAACTGAGAAAATATTCTTACATAGAATAAATATTTAAACATTTTATTTTGTTTAATTGAAAATTTAGTCTACTTTTAAAAAACTAGACATATATTAGAGAATGAACTATGTTTTTCCTATTTCTAATTTGTATGATAAGTGGCAATTATTTTAGCTAATAGGTCATTAATTCTGGGTGACAGTATTTTGTGTCTGAACTTAGAGAAACAGGAAATGGAATGAATGAATAGTTTTAGATTTTTAGATTGCAGAACACTTGATATGCAGTAATCCTATTCAATTCAATCCTTTGCAATAAATAGTTTTAGGATTACTATATAATTATATGCCGAACTATGAACCCTATGTTCAAGAGGTTCATACACATAAATCAGTCTGTTCGATCCAGATATTAGATTAATTTATAAAATAATTGGAAGTGTTTATTTTATCTAGTTGATTTGGACTAACTTAAGTTAAATTGAAAAGTCATCTCTTTCAGATATAGCTTCATATTCAGCTACATCTTCACACTTGGAATCCTTGTGTTTATTAGAAATTAGGTTGAAATCAGTTTCTAATTTTTGGTTTTTATTTATAGTTTATGTTTCAAGATATTTGTAGCCTTACTAGTGGCTTGGCTTAAAAGCTGTGTGGGTACATTCCACAAACCTGGAACTTGTAATTATAAATCCAGTTTAGGTTCTCTGTTCTGTTTTGAAGTGATGGTGTCTTAGATATATTGCCTACATGATTTGGAGACAGTACTAAATTACTGTGAAACAAAACAGAGTACCTAAACCTTTTTCAGAAAAAGTTTTGGCACAAATTCTCTGCCAACAAAATACTAATGTACTAGATAGATGGACCATATGATTAAGAGGCAATACTAGGAAATTTTGTTGGTTGGGAAATCTATACAACTCTCTGAAAGTTGTATTCTGTGAGCTGAAGAAACATATTTCTTATGGAACACACACAAACACTTTTCACTACTCATTTTCATCCCAAGATCACCTTTGTAACAATTGTGGGGCTACCATTGAACTTCATGATGATATTTTTTCCAGTGGATGATCTAAATTTATGTATCAAGATAGATTATTCTAGCCTTTTCATTTCAGCATTCTCAAAATCTTTTTTATTTTATTTTATTATTTATTTATGTATTCAATTTGTGTAGCCACCGATCTCACAAGCAAGTGACTTTGGGTGGCATACAATGGTTTTATTCTACATAGTGTCACAAAGTGGAGGTTAAACTTCCTGAGCAGATAAGATTAATATAGTAATCTGCATGCTCTAGATAAGATTAGAGTTTGGAAGTGGCACCACTGTTTTCATTACTATGGTGGCAACTTTAGTGCAAAGATGACTAAATAACTCAAACCTCAGGCATCTGCATTCCTAGTATAGTTTGGTCAGTAACTGAGTTCCTACATCACTTTAAGCCACAGTGTTGTACTTGATAGTTTCAGTAGCAGTTATGCATAAACTGGGTTACTGTAGATTGTTGAACTAATTATAATTAAACAAATCATAGTACAGTGAGTGAAATGCTGGTTAAGAGGGTAACTTGGTTCTTATCCACCTTCAGTATTACCCAGGCACAGTAGCAATTAAGCAGTTGAACACTAGATGAATGCAAGATCTTTGTCTCTCAGCCTTCTGTGCAGTGAGAAAATGAATTCGCATGCAATCTGATCTTCAGAGCTCAGGATCTCTGTCTAACATAGAAGTAATCTGCCTGTGCAGCACTGTTACAATACAAAAGCTTTTTTCCCTCTTTCTTAAATGGAAGGGACTCTGAGCAACACAAGTACTTCATGGTTCAAGCATGAAGAATCATTTGAGACAAAAGTATGCTTAAGAATGATTTAATTCTTGTGTATCTTTAAAGCGGAGCATCTTCCATAATCTGTGCCTATATCCTCTTCTGCTTCAGATTAACAGATTGCAAACCTTGATATTCTGGATTTTGTTACAACTTTCCTAACTCTGTTCACTTATGGAACACATCTCATATATTAAGGGCTTTCAGCATTTTAAGCAGCCGGATGAGCTTGTCAAGGCTGATGCCCAGGTTGCAGTGCTTTTGTGCTCTACAAGTATATCTAAATCAACATCTCAGGTTTTCTCGTAACTCATAAGAATTGGAAGCTGCCTGGAGCTGCCTGCTTATAGGATTGGTCTTAATTATAATGGTTGCTTTATTTATTATCTGGGAAATATTATAGCTGAAGCCCCACAGAATTCATTCACCTTGAAAAAAGCAGGTTACCTCCTATGTGCTTTCCTTTATAATAGAGGATTTATAACATTGTAACACTTTTAATAACCTCAAAACGACCATTTCCTCTTCCTTTTTGACACTTCCCATTATTTTTTAAAAAATACCAAATTGTTATGTTTCACTTGCAAATAAATCAGTACAATTTCTGGTATCTTTGAACTGTGCTAATGATAAACAGTTTTGTTTCCCTAGTGCGTGGCTACTATGAAATGTATCTCTTTGTGAATTTTATAGATAGATATACATTTTATTCTAAAATAAAACCTGAACCTATAAACTTTGGGCGGTCCAGGAAGTGTTTTCTCCTTGTGTAATTTATTGATGCCCTCGTGACAATGTATCTAGTTCATAACTTAGTTTTGTACTTACACATTCTTGAGGGTGGGGTAGGAAGACTGGAAATAATAATTCTTTTCAGGTAAGTATATTGTTATTTTCTACTATGCACTCCAGCATGCAGGATATTTTAAGAGATGATTTACATCTACTTGTCTGCTCAGAGCAAGTGTTCAGTTTAAGTAGGCTTTTTCAGTAAATAGGGAGGGATAAATAGAAATTTATTTTTGAAAATGCAAATTTATTCCTGGACTTCTGCACAGTGATAAATATGGTCAGATTGTTGGTGGAGACGTTCATAGTGAAAATTTCTTCTCAAAAGGTTCCCGAGAGTCTCTAAATCTGTTTGCACAAGAATCCTGTTGATTACCGTTGCTTTTTCTTAATGCATACAACTTTGATATGCTATTGCATATTTGGCTTTTACCTTAATGAGAAAGAGATGAGTGGCTTTTTCACATGATAATTAGAGACAGCTGTCTATTCTGTACAATGACACATGCACCACAACATTTAAATTTCAATTGTATTTATGTCAAATTGTAAATGATATTTAGTTTTAGAGCTGAATTTCAAATATATGGCAATTCAATCTGCATCCTAAACTAGGCCAACATTATATGTTATAATAATTTGATTCAATTATCATCATGGAAACTGCCATATATTAAGGCTTGTTGCACCTTAAAATTACTTAAGTTGCTCCATAAGATTTGGAATTGCGTTTTTAAGTTTTTTTTTAAAGAAAGTGAATTGACATTCCCTATAAGTGCAATTTCATTCTGATGATCATTTTACAAGCATGTATTTTCTGACCTGAGAGCCAGTTTGGTGTAGTGGTTAAGACATCAGGCTAGAAACCAGGAGACTGTGAGTTCTAGTTCTGTTTTAGATACAAAGCCAGGTGGGTATCCTTGGGCCAGTCATTCTCTCTTAACCGTAAGGAGAAGCCAATGGCAAAAACAAATCTTGCCAAGAAAACTGCAGAAATTAGCCCAGGCAGTCACCCTAATGGAAGCCTAACTGGAAAAAAACAAATAAAAAACCACTCCTTCTGATCTGGTGTATGAAGTTATAAGTGTCACATTAGAAAGTCAGATTTAAACTTCAGCCATAAATGTATGCTGTGATAAAGGTTACTGATTTATTAATTCAACTTAGCATTATTGGTTAATGAATAGATGCAAATTTCTATTACAGCTATGACGTTGTCTGTGAAATACATGCTTTTGAGCCAGGAAACAGATAACCAGATGACAGGAGAATATCCAGTTTTATCTTATGACCTTGTGTTTTGAGCTTTGTTGGGTTGCTTTTCCATAGGAAGGATAAGTTAGCACTTTTGATTGACTTAATGGATCATTGGTCTCAGTAGAATTTTGTTAGGCACAGTTTATATTGGAATCAGTGGATTTTAAAAAAAGTTAAGGAATTTGGTTTGTTTGAAAATTTTTGATGGGAATTCTGCAGATCCTGAAATCAGGGTTGTTATTGA